GAAGAAAGAAGAAAGCGAGGAAACTGCATCCCCCGAGCCTGATACAAAAGAGCCCGAACCTGAAGCCACACGAATAGCAGCGATCTCTTTAGCAGAAAAAGATCACTTCGTACAAGCTCGACGGGTACTATGGAAAAGTGCGGAATGTGACTGTGAAGTTTGGGGCAAGCCGTTTAATGCCCTTATCGACACAGGATCTTCTGCAGTGGCCATATCATTGGATACTGTCAAGAAGACGGGACGACTTGGATCTATTCTTCCTCAATCTGGCAAAGACAACTATGTCTCAACTGACGAGGAAGCAATGACCATCGTAGGCATTATCGAGAATGTGGTTGTAAAAGTTGGACGAGTACACGTCCTTGTTAACGCGCTCGTAATAGATGTACGTTCCTACTCCGTGTTGTTGGGATTGCCTTGGGCGATGGCGGTGGGCGCACGTCTGCATTTCGATTCGAAGCAACTGGTGCTCACACAAACTGGGGGAAAACCTCAAACGGTTCCTTTACGAGTTTCCACCCGGACGATGAAACGGGTCCCTAACCCGGCCCAAATTGGGATGATCCGATACATTGAACCCGAGGAATGCTCTGCCTCGTGCCTCGGGGATGGAACCAGGGAGCAAGGATACGAAGAAGAGATGCCCAGCGAAGAAGAATGGAAGCATCTGGTTGAACGTTTCGAACATGAAACCCCCGAGGAGTTTCAAGTGTACCCCGACACCGCCCGAAGCTTCCACGTGGATTCCGAAGACAGTGCATTCACGCCCCTAACAACCCAGGTCAGTCCTTCAGTCCTCTTCGGGGAACTCATATTACAAGTTTCCGACCTGGCTGATGATTTGGAACCCCCTCGCACCTTGTACGAGGGAGCTCTTTCCTTACGAACGCGTTATCAACAAACGGAGCAGTATGTGGATGTCTCTGTTTTTCCGCCCAGGTCGTTACTAACGACAGGAGCCACCATCGCCTTGATTAAACAAGAGGCGGAAGCACCGGAAAGTGACGTACCTAATCTGATGCAAGAAATGACGGATCTAACAGGGCTAACTGTGGAACCAACCTCGGTTGGTTCAGAGACCGACGCTGAAACTAAAGAAACGGAGATGATCAGCCTCGCAGAGTCCCAAATGATAGCAACTGTCTTCTCTGTTTGCACCAGTAGTTCCGTTTTCTCTAGTGTCGCCGAGCGGCGGGAACGACCGATTGATTGGGTCGATATGCCCCTCAAGATTTCCGGGGAATCAACGATCCCCCTCCCGAGTCACGTTCCTGCGGAACTTCGGAAGTCATTAATCTGTGTGTTAAATGGTTACTCAGATGTATTGAGCGTACACGATAATGACATCGGCTTGACTAATGTAATCGAGCATGCCATTCTCACGGGAAACCATCCACCCATTAGCTGCGTTCCTTACCGATATTCGCCAGCTCAACGAGCGTCGAGCGGCCGCTTTTCAACGGATTAAGGAGTTCGAAGCTAATGGATGGATCGAACCTGCTATAGGTCCATGGTCCTTTCCCGTAGTGATCATACCTAAAAAGGCCGGACGGATTCGTATTTGCATTGATTATCGAAAATTGAATGATATCACGATTAAAGATGTGTACCCTCTTCCCCGGATTGATGAATTGTTGGATGCGATTGAGAGTGCTCGATTTTTCAGCAAGTTTGATGTTTACCATGGGTTCCATCATCTTCTTGTCCGAGAAGAGGATCGTCTGAAAACTGCGTTTGTGCTTTTCGAAGGTACGTGGCAATGAATTCGATGTCCGATGGGTATTTGCAACGCCCCTGCGACCTTTCAGCGGCGATTGCGGGACCCCTCACAAATCTGCTTCGCAAAGATCAGCCATTGATCTGGACACCGGAGTGCGATCAAGCGTTCTCCAAACTCAAGGCTGCTCTCATTTCGGCTCCGGTTCTTATAAGACCGGATTCCGAAAAGCCTTTTGTTCACATCACTGACTGGCCACCAGAGGCGATTTCGGCGATCCTTGCCCAGAAAGGACTGAACGGACTCGAGAGTGTGGTGGAGTATGCGTCCAAATCAGTGCCCGCCTGCAAGCGCAACTACGCCGCTCCGACGGGAGAATGCTATGCGGCCCTCTGGGGAATCAGTCATTTTCGTGTTTATTTGTACGGGCGGAAGTTCACCCTGGTAACTGATCATGAGCCCCTGTGGGCCCTAAAGAAATCGAAGGATTACTCTGGCATGATCGGGCGATGGGCAACGGTGCTACAGAGCATGGACTTTGACATCTGCCATCGAAAGCACGAGAGACACGGGAATGCGGATGGATTGAGCCGACTGCACCAATGAGGAGGTGATCCCGTGGAACGAACGTGAACAGGACAGCGGACCTCGGTACGGCCAAGTGGAGATCTTATCGAAGCAGTAAGTGACACGAGGACTAATTGTTATGTTCTACCCTCCCTGCATCCCCTCCTCCTCTGTCATCATGACTACCCCACTTGCCCCCGCAACCCCTTCATCTCCCTCTAATTCTGCCCCTCTCACGTCCTCCGCTTTCTTTGCCACCCTCCCCGATAAATTCTGTTATTTTTGCACGTGCATTGCACGTGCATTGCACGGGTCTATGGGGTCGACTCTCATCCTTTCGAAACCGGGTTTGTCGATTGGGTAGAATGTGCCACGTGTGTCAACCGTGCGCATGGGGCCTGCGTTCTATATCGGACGAATAGCAAGGAATGGAGATGCCCCCTGTGTAGAACGAACAAGCTCCCCACGGAGGTTCGATTCGAGGCCGCCCGTACAGACGGCCCTGAATACGACAAAAAATACCGACGAGCGGAGGTTTGGACAGATAAAATTTTATTAGCGAAATTAGCGGGATTACCATTGGGCCACCTCACCAAACACAACAGACGTAGGGCAACCGAGAGATCTCGGGACTATCGACGGATCAACGGTCATTTGGAAAAGCGTAAAACTGACGGATCAAGTTCGTGGCTGACGGTTCCCCATCCCTTCCAGAGATACGATTGGATCCGATCCGCTCATGAAGAACAGGCCGCTCATTTCGCAATACGTGTCACAGAGGCAACTGTAGACCAGAACCGATGGTTCTGGTCCAATATACGAGATGACGTCAAGTACATTGTCGCTAACTGTCTAGTCTGTGCCGCTGATCGCGCCCCTATACGGGGACCAAACACGATCGTACCCACGGAAGTAGAGCGTCCTTTCCAGCGAGTCAGTATGGATACGACAGATATTGACGTGCCACCTGGCCCAAACCGCTGTGAATATTCTATCTTGTTAGTTTTAATTGACCATTTTTCCAAATACATCGAAGTCTATCCCTGTAAGACCCGGAAGGCCGCAGAAATAGCCACGTACATCGAACAATTTCTCTACACCCATCTAGATACGGAAGAAATTCTAACTGACAATGGGTCGGAATTCAAAGGTGAGGTAGAGGAACTGCTTGCGCGAAGAGGCGTCACGCTCCGAGATACGACACCCCACGTGTCCCAGTCGAACGGGTTGGCTGAGAATGCCAACCGTATGATTAAAACCGCCCTCCGCAGGAACTTAGCGGCACACGACGTGCGTCCTTGGCCCGAGATCGTATATCAGATCGTTGGGATCCACCGGGCCACCCCTCACGAGTCTACGGGGTGTACCCCCTTTCAGCTTCGAACTAATAGCCTCCCCTGTGTCGATTACCGGGGTAACTCGGAAATTGCCAAAGCAGGGGGTAGAGACACGCGTGCAGCTCTCAAGGCCAAGGCCAAAAGGTACACCGAATTAATGGAACGGGCCGTCCCAAAGCTAGTCCGAAAAAGGCAAAGGATGACCGAACTGGCCCACGGTAGACATGTCCGCAGCTACGAGGCCCGGAATGGAAATGCTGGGCCCCAGTACCAATACAAATTAGGGGACCTAGTGCAGGTACGTAAATGTGCACGTGACCGGAAACTCGCTCCCAAGTTCTCGGGCTGTTTTTGCGTTGTCGAGCTCGGAGCCAACGGCGCCAACACGGTGTGCATCGCGCCTGAGGCTAGTGCCAGCCATAGCTCTGTGCCAATCGTCCGGCATACCCCCTACCTCCGTCTCCTTCCTCCTTCCGATCTTCTTCCTCTTCTTCCTCGGAAGGCGAGGAGAGCGACGACGATCTAACTCTCTCCCATCTTTCTCCCTCTTGTCCTTCGTCCTCCTCTCCAACCTCGCCATGAGTTTTATCGCGGAGCGAGTTCTCGACGCTCAGCTATTGCATCCACGTGGCCACATCTCAAAGATTCGGCAAGCTTGTCACCCTCGGCTCAATGCGGATCTTCGGCGTTTGATGCGATTCTTCTGCGACGAAGGTATTTGTGCCGCCGCTGCGTGTCGAATCGAAAGGAGTCCTCGCGCAATAGTGTTCGCGGAGGTTACCTCAGTTCATCGGCGAGCGGGTCCTAGAACGAGCCACGTCACCACGGTAGCGGCGTTCACCGGCAACATCAGCTCGGTCAATCCGATGTGGCATACTACAATCTTCGCCTCGCTGCGCGAGTGGACGGAGCAAGTGTCCAACGTGTGGCAGCACGTCCTCGCCCGACAGGGGTATAACATCATCCCGATCTTTGCAACGGACCTTAACGGTATTCGCCGATCACCACGCGAGCGGCCAGTTGCGATCCCTACCCTCGTCCCCTTCCCCCATCCCCAATGAACCACTCTGATCTTCTTGCTCCTCTCTCTATCTTTGGTCTTCCCTCTCTCTTCCCCACCTTCTGGTAGTCTGATCTTCATCCTTCTCTTTCCTTCTCATTCGAGCCTCTTTCCGTCCCTCTTATAAATCCTGGACATTGGCGACTGTGGCGCGAAACTTTTGAGGAGTTGTCCTTCTGCTTGGCCAGAATACAGGTGACGTGGACGGGCACTAGCGAGCATCCCACGTGGATTGAGAATCCGGAGCTGCTGATCATACAGGCTTGGGGGACCAACGTGGAAGGAGATCTTTTTGGCTTTCTCTTCGGATCGGTACGGCCGGGTCAGTGCCACTTGATTGCGCAAGAGCTTATCGCACCGATCGTGCAATTGGCGGACGATCTCTCGCCTGACATCTATTTCAGAGTGACGACAATCCTGCTCCATACATTTTCGAGTGATCATTGGATCCGTACCTTCAGTGGACTGCGTTCTTGGAGGAACCTAGGGACGAGGATACGCTACCATCACGGCAGGACTATCTGAAGCCGTACGAGATCATCATTCACGCCTTCTATCCGAGGGCAGAGGAAGTGGTAATCGACGACGACGACGACGAAGAAGAAGACGACGACGACGAGGAAACGTCGGAGGAGGGAAGCTATAGTGAACATAGCGAGGGCGAACTGAGTGAGGAGGAAGAGGAAGAAGAAGGAACCGGGTCCGAGTGGGAAGCCTTGCCAGAGGAAGCAACACACACGGGAACGGAGGCGGAAGATCCGGAAGCGGCGCGGAAGCGCGAGGAAATTGCCACCGGGAAGCGCCAGCTGGAGTTCGCCAGCGAAGCTAGCCTGCGCATCGGTAGCGATCCGACCAGGGATCCAGAGCCGCCGAAGCCCGAAGATGGCGACCCTGCAGCCGCCACCTCAAGTACCGCGCGACGGAGACGGAGCCGATCCCCCTCCAGCCCCACCCGTCCCCCAGTTCGCCCACGTACCGATGCGGGCGATAGGCCTTCGTCCTCGGACGCTGTCCCGCCGACCCCTTGATTTCCTCACCCTCGAGCAGATCCGTACCCCCGTCACCTTCCCTTCCCATCCCTTTCATCCCCATCTCTTCCATGACTTCTATTCTACCCGTCTGCTCGCCACCGTCCACCCCCACGCCTCCCTTCAATCCGCTGCCCCCACGTTCTGTTGGCATCTCCTGTTGTTCAGCGCTGCATGGGAGCGATGCAACGTGGTAGAGGTTTACTGCGTCGCCATAAGGACAATCCCCGCTTGCCACCACTTCGAGATCTTTCGAGCGGCGCTCTTCCGCACCCTCTCCTCCTTCTATCGCGACTACCTCGCTTCCCTTCCTCGCAGCGGCGATCATTTTCCCCGCTTCCACCGGATCATCCGATATGAGGAGCTCCCGGTGACGATGGAAGGGATGAATCGCTTCCTACCCCCGCTTCCTCCCCGTCCTCCCCGCGAGGTCCCCTCCATGTACCATCTCTACTGGCCTATTCCAACTTGGCGGTAGGTCCCATTCACGTGACCCCCCCGCCCCCCCTTCCCCTTCTCTCCTCCCTTCATCGACACGAATCAGTAAGCTTCGCGAAGATCACGCCATCGACGATGACGTCAACCTACGCGCTGATTCGACGGACAGCAACGACCAGGGGTGCAGAACACACGGAGATCAGGTGGACCATGATGGCGTCAATTGGACGATCTCCACAAGGCAGAGGGTTGCATATGACAGGGCTGCAGAGATCTTGCCACGGATGTTGTCGCCATCTCATCCGCGACCCAGTTATCGTTCCTTGTACTTCTTTTGCTTTGTTGATACGCTTCGTTCCTCATGCATCACTCTGTTCTCCCCTCCTTCTTTAGCCATGCCATGCAATTAGGAGATCGCATAATTTTGGAACCCCCTGCGCGTCACATATGTGACGAACCACTTCCTGAACCCGTGCCATCTTTCGTACCCCTTCTTTTGCTTGTATCATACCAACCCCCAGATAAAACCCCGTTTTGATTTCTTGTTTCTTCTCTGAAAACTTTTTCGACTTCTGGGATCTATTTTTCCTTTTTGTAAGTCGGGAAATACATGGGAAGTTGCGTGTGCTGTAGCGAGCGCACTGGGAATTGGGCTCGGCAGTTGGGAATTCCGGGATAAGCGGAACTTCGATGTGTCCTTTTCGAGTTTGTGAATGTTCTTGGGCGCGTCGGGGAAAACTCTCGGAATTTTGCGTGAATACGAATAGGCGTAGGATTTTATTTTCCCGCGTCGCTTTTTCGCGCGCGGATATGGTGATTTCAATTTTGAATTAGGAGAGAAGCAAGCCGTAACTGTTTCGGTGCCTTTTTCTTTCTTTTTGTTGACGGCGCCACGTATGCAGAGCTTTCTCCTCTCTGTCCCCCCCGCATCGCTCCCACCCACGCCTCCCTAAGGCTTTCTTCCCTTCTCTCTCCTTTTTCTCTCTCCCCGTAACTGTTTTTCTTCTCTCCCTCTCTCTCCCGCCTTGCTTTTTGCTTGCCCATTTCCCTTTCTTGATCATCTGAATCTTGGACCCGTCTTGCGCTACTTCTCGCGCCTTTTCTCTTCTCACCACCCTGAGTCTGACGCACGACGCCCGGTCGATCCATCGATAACTCCCGCTCGCCAATCAGATGCGCAAATCAATAGGACATTCCTATTGCGCGGCGAATCTGATTGGTTGAACCTTGAGTTTCGACGGATCAACATGACGTTCGTAGAGCATTCTTCTCAAAGTCTTCTCCTACTGCTTCTCCTCTTACACCTCAGCTTTCCTGACACCCTCTCCCCCTTCTTTCTCCCCTGTCGCAACTATAAAACCTGCAAGCGCGTCCGCAAACCTCTCTTACGTTCTCGACTCCTAAGCCAGCTTCCGGGAAGCAGTGGCTAGGCAGAGTGGGTTGATGCGAGTTGTAAAGTCTTGTCGGGCTGACGATAGGCTGGCCGGTTGCGTGCTTGATCACCACGACGGACTGTGGGATCCGGGCGAACCGTGTCGAGTTTACGACAGCGGGGTGACGATCGCAGTGGTGGGAGTTAGCACGCGACGGCCGGGATCGTCGGGCGAGTATGAGGATCGATGATTGGAGTTGAGTGAGTGATTGGCCCGGGGCCATACTGGAATTAACGGCGAATGCGCCTTTGTTGCGGATTTTTATCCTTGGTGTGAGTGTACGGCTGCGACGCCAAACTTTTCTCTTCTCGGACCTTGTCATCTTCTATTTTGATTTTCTTATCCTCGACTCTCTCTCTCTCTCTCTCTCTCTCTCTCTCTCTCTCTCTCTCTCTCTCTCTCTCTCTCTC